CACTCTCAGCATCCCCTCCGAGACCTCACAGGCAGGCAGGCTCCGGGGAGCAGGACTTCTGCCAGGTGGGAGGTGGGGGCTTGGTCTCCGGGGCTATAGCAGTGCCTTCTCTCTTTTCTCTTCTTTTTTTCCTTTTTTCTTTTCCTTTCTTTCTTTCCCTTTCTTTTGTTTACCATCAGATTCATGAGAAAGCACTGGCTTTCTCTGCCATCGACCCGTTCCTCTTCTATGGGAGCACCAACTTCACTCTAGACAGATGGTCGTCCCAGTCCTGGAAACCTGCCCTTGCTCTGGCCTCTGGGAGGCATCCGGATGTGTCACATCCTCAGACGCTCACCTTCTGGGTGATGGCAGGTGCCGGAAGCCACACTCTGCCCAGCATCCTTTAGAATTTAGGCTCCAGCACCCGCAACATCCTGCCTTCTGATCACTGAGCTCCAAAGGAACTCCCAAACATAGTCCTTGGGGTGAGGAGGGCTTCATGATTGCCTGTCCCAGCTTCTAAGGGCCCTGTCTGTCCTCTGGGTCCAGACAGTTCTCAGACTGCCCCATAGGACCCCATCCCCTTTCCCCCATGTCCCCACCGTGGGTGGGGGTGAAGTAATGCATCCTCCTGTGGCAACAGGGGGCACTACTCTTCTCCCAACTTCCTTCCATCACCCCGAGATATCTCTTCTCCACATAACTGGCATCTATAAGACTTCCAGTTGTCAGACCTCCAATCTCTCCGACACTGAGTGAGGGATGCTCAAACAGAGACATGTCAATCGAGAGAGCTTCAGGGCCAAGGCTTCATCACAGTGCTAATTGCCTACTCAAAGCCATATTTCCTTTTTCCCTCAGTAACATAACCTGGATGTCACGAGGGCAGCTGCATGCTCGGCCCACAGAGTCTGTTTCCTACCTCTTTTAGCAGCTAAGTGTGGCATGAAACTAAGTCCTGGCCAGGTGAAGTGGCTCACACCTGTAATCCCAACACTTTGGGAGGCTGAGGCAGGTGGATCACCTGAGGTCAGGAGTTCAAGACCAACCTGACTAACATGTTGAAATCCTGTCTCTACTAAAAATACAAAAATAGCTGGGCGTCGTGGCAGGCACCTGTAGTCCCAGCTACTCAGGAGGCTGAGGCAGAAGAATTGCTTGAACCCAGGAGGTGGAGGTTGCAATGAGCCGAGATTGTGCCATTGCACTCCAGCCTGGGCAACAAGAGTGAAATTCCATCTCAGGAAAAAAGAAAAAAAGAAAGAAAGAAAGAAACTAAATTCTGGCCGATAGTAGGCAACTGGCATTGTGTGAAACTCCCAGGATGCTACTTAAAGCTGGCTCGGTGAGAACAGGCCTTTTTTGCATTGCTCTTTTCCAGCTTCCTGATGCCCAGAATGCAGGTGTGATGACTGGAGCACCAGCAGCTATATTGGGCCATGACACTTTGAGGATGGAAGCCAAACAATAGAATGATGATGCAGGAAAATCAAAGAAACCCGATGTCCATTACAAGTGTCCTGGAGTGCCTACCTCTGGGCATCATTAGCATGAAACAGAAACCCCTAGCTTGTAAGTCACTATTATTATATGTATTTTATGTCACTAAAATAAATCTTCACTGATATATCAGTTGGCTGGCTCTGACCCTGACTATCTTCTTTGGAGAATTTTCAGAACCAGGCATATCTCAGTTTGGTACAGATGTGTAAGACATTGGGAGTTAAGGTAAAAAGATGGAAGGAACACGCATAAAAATGAAGTAAGCACTAAGCTTCAGGCCAGAGAGACCAAAGTTAATGATGTGATCTAAAGAAGGAATGTCAGTGATTTTACAGCAGGGAATCTACTGGTATTACCCAATATATTCTCTAGCCTACATATGGTCTATTTTATTTCTGATACTGGCTTTAAAAGTAAATTTATTCAATAAGTGATGCTGGGAAAACTGGATATCCACATGCAAAATAATGAAGATGGACCCCTTAGTCACCTGTGCACAACAATCAATTCTAAGTGGACCCAAATTTAAGCACTCAACCCATAAGAAAACATAGGTCTAAATCTTTGTAACCTTGGGTTAGGTAATGATTTCTTAGATATGACAACAAAAGCATAAGAAATAAAAAATATATAGAAAAATTGGACTTCATCAGAATGAAAAACTTTTGTGCTTCAAAAGCTTTGCACACCTGTGCATCAAGTAGGTGTAAAGACAACCCACAGAATGGGAGAAACTATTTGTGAATCATATATGTAATATCCTACTTGTATCTAGAATATGTAAAGAACTCCTACAACTCAATAATAAATAACCAAATAGGCCAATGAAATAATGGGCAAAGGAGGTGAACAGATATGAAAAGATGCTTAGCATCATTAGTCATCAGTGAAAACAAAACCATGAGGAGTTACCAATTCACACACACTAGGATGGCTAACATTAAAACAGATAATAACAACTGTTGATAAGGATCTGGATAAACTGCAACTCTCACATTACTGCTAAAATGTAAAATGGTGCAGCCACCTTGGAAAGCAGTTTAACAGTTTCTTACAAGGTTATACCTAGAGTTAGCACATGGCTCAGCAATTACACACCCAGATATTTACTCAGGAATATGTGATGAAAATGTATGTCCACACAAACACTTACTTTGCAGCATTATTCCTAGTAGTCAAAACAATGGAAGCGCACCAAATGTCCATCAGTTGATAAATGGATAAACAAAATGTAGTACAGCCTTACACTGGAATATTATTTAGCAATGAAAAGGGATTGTTTCAGTCTATTTAGGCTGCTATAAACAAAATATCACACACTAGGTGGATTACCAACAACAATTATTGCTAACAGCTCTGGAGGCTGGGAGTCGAAGATCAAAGCATGGCAGATGTGGTGTGTGGTGAGGTCCCGCTTCCTGGTTTATAGACAGCACCTTTTGGCTGTGTCCCCACAGGGTAGAAGGGGCAAGGGAGCTCTCTGGGGCCCCTTTTACAAGGGCACTGAACTCACCTGTGACCTAATAACCTCCCAAAGGCCCCACCTCCTGATGCTATCACCTTGGGTGTTAGAATTTCAACATAGGAATTTTGCGGGGGGAAGAAACATTCAGACTATAACAGGAATGAAGCACAGACACACGCGATAGCGCGGCTAAAGTGTGGAGGTATTACACCAAGTTTCAAAACCCAGACACAAAAGGTCTGTACTGTATAATTCCATTGCTATGAAATGTCCAGAATATGCAGCTCCACAGAGACAGAAAGTAGATAAGTGGCTGCCAGGGGCTGTGGGGAGGGGGCAGTGAGGAGTGACTAATAAACAGCACAGATGTGTAGAGCGGATGATTAAAATGGTATGAAATCAATGCCGTGATGGTTATGCAATTCTGTGAATATACTAAAAACCACTGGATTTTGGGCTTTAAACAGGGGACCTTTATAAAGCTGGGGGCTTTTTGTTTGTATTATTTCTCGAGACAGGATCTCACTCTATCGCCCAGGCTGGAGTACAGTGACATGATCACGGCTCACTGTAGCTTTGACCTCCTGGGCTCAAGCCATCCTCCCACCTCAGCCTCCCAAGTAGCTGAGACCACAGTTGCATACCACCATGCCTGGATATTTTTTTTAAAAAATTTTTTGTAGAGATGGGGAGTTACTATGTTTCCCAGGCTGGTCTCAAAACTCCTGGGCTCAAGCAATCCTCCTGCTTCAGCCTCCTGAAGTGCTGGGATTACAGGCGTGAGCCACTGCGCCTGGCCTATAAAGCTGTATTTAAACAAAAACAAGAACAAAAAAACAGGCAAGGAGGGGCTCCCTCCAAAGGGGACCTGATTCAAGTGGACCAGGAACTTAGTGGGAGCAAATGCTTCCTGGATTTGGAGCCCTGCGTGCCACATATCCAGCTTCTCCATGTCAGTTCAGCTCTGTGTGGCTGTCTCCTCAACACGTGCACATCTCACCTACTGTGACAGCTCATAGGCATCAAGAGCCTGCAGCGTACCAGAACTATTCTTAACCATGTACATGGATTATCACATTTACTCTTCCCAGTGACCTTGTGTGATGGGTACCACTTCACAGCTGAGAAAACAGAAGTCCAGGGACGTTAAACAACTCAACAACAGTTACACAGCTCATGAGTGACTGGGCAGCAATTCAAACGCACCTGTGCCCCAGGTACCAACCACAGAGTGATTCCCCACCAAGCAGCCACCTCCGGCTCTGGCATTGTCAGCTTCCAGATTTAGCATGAAGTGTCAATATACACATTCTTTGAACCTTTAAATATAATTAAAAATTGTTTATGCAATGGCTCATGCCGGTAATCCCAGCACTTTGGGAGGCCGAGGCAGGATCACTTGAAGCCAAAAGTTCGAGACCAGCCTGGGCTACGTAGCAAGACCCCATCTCTACAAAAATAATAAAATTAGCTAAGTTTGGTGGCACATGTCTGTAGTCCCAGCTACTTGGGAGGCTGAGGTAGAAGAATCGTTTGAGCCCGGGAGGTTGAGGCTGCAGTGAACCATGTTGTCACCACTGCACTCCAGCCTGGGTGACAAAGCGAGAACTCTGTCTCTAAAAATAAAAAGTAAACAATAAAATTGTTTATATACATGCCAATTCTGTTTCAGTATTTGTCCAGTTCCAAGTATTTCATTTATTGAATTCCTTTCAAGGTTTTGAAAATCCTCAAGATTTTGTTTTGTTATTTTGGAGATGGACTCTCACTAAGTTTCACAGGCTGGTCTCAAACTCCTGGCCTCATGCAATCTTCCTACCTTCCAAGTAGCTGAGATTACAGGCACAAGCCACTGTGCCTGGCTAATATTTTGAATGTGCCTTTGGCCTCTTATGAGCTGCCATAGATGTTTCTAGGCAGAGGGGCCAGCTGACAGATTCTGAATGATGATGCCTGCAACACTGCAAAATACTTTTAGATGCTCAGTGCCATCTCTAATCGTCCCTCTAAAATAGAACTAGAGCAGAAATCCCGTTTCCTCGGTGAATACCTCAGTCCTGCCGATCTCCGGATCACCAAATACGCATCCACCGCATAGCAAAACAGCCACCAGAAGCAGGCGCTGTACAACAGCTGGATCCACATCTGCAATCGAGAAGAACCCTGCATCAAAATGTCTGGAAACAGGTACAAGAAGCCCAGCCCATCCATGAGACGGCAGGGCAGACACCAGCTTCCTCTGAGGTCAGGAAGCAGCACATGACAGCTCTCAGGACACAAGTGGGCACAGCCCCTGGGACCAAGGAGGGTGTGGCCTGGGGTGGGTGTAGGCATTTGCATTTGACTAAGGAACTCTGCCTTCTGGTCCACTCCTACACAGGGAGGATGAAGACATGCAGAGTTCCAAGACATGCAGTTTAAACTGGGGGCTTTGAACTAGACAGAAGCTCTTGTTCTGAGAAAGAATGAGTACAGGAAGAGGGACTCAGGCAGTCCTTCCAAAGAGGAGCTGGAGGAAGGGGACTCCAGTGTTAGAAACGACACAAGGTCAAGATGCCTCACCACCGCAGGCAGAGACAGAGGCTCCAGAGATGCAGTTAGGAAGCCGCTGAGGCCAGGGCAGTGAGGAAACTGACAGTTCTGCTCCAGCACAGGGCAGGCAACACAGCATCAGAGAATGCACTTCAAATCACTCACCTGAGCAGCATCGTGGCAGATGGAGCATAACAGATATGCGTATGTGTGTGTCTGTGTATGTATGCTAGCTATTCACTTTTTCAGTAATTTGTTTATATACAATTATGTGGTGTTTTTCTTTTCTTTGAAGACAGAGCTTCACTCTGGAATGCAGTGATGCGATCTCGGCTCACTGCAACCTCTGCCTCCCAGGTTCAAGCAATTCTTCTGCCTCAGCCTGCTGAGTAGCTAGGACTACAGACACGTGCCACCACACCTGGCTAATTTTTGTATTTTTGTACAGACGGAGTTTGGCCAGGCTGGTCTCCTCTCCTGAGCTCAAGTGATCCACCTGCCTCGGCCTCCCAAAGTGCTGGGATTACAGTGCCTGGCTTATATGTTCTATTTAATATACGTAAGTATGTATTTAAACAAAACGCATCCAATGTATTGCTAACTGGTTCTGCGCCAGCTGGTTTTGCTTGTGGCTCCATTTACGCGGAGGATGCATTTGTGAAGGGGATGGGGAAAGGGGCGGGAGAAACACCACTTGAGTTTCCTGGGCAGCATCCCCTGGAGAGGGTTGGGCTTCTGATCAGCAGGGTGGGGCAGGGCCTGAAAACCTGCATTTCTAACAGACTCTCAGGTATGGTGTTTTTTATTTTTATTTTTTTGAGATAGAGTCTCATTGTGTCGCCCAGGCAGGAGTGCAGTGGCATGATCTTGGCTCATTGCAACCTCCGCCTCCCGAGTTCAAGCAATTCCCTGCCTCAGCCTACTGAGTAGCTGAAATTACAGGCACGTGCCACCACGCTGGGCTAGTTTTTTTGTATTTTTAGTAGAGACAGGGTTTCACCATCTTGGCCAGGCTGGTCTTGAACTCCTGACCTCGTGATCCACCTGCCTCGGCCTCCCAAAGCGGTATTACAGGCGTGAGTCACCGCGCCCTGCCAGAACCTGCATTTCTAACAGACTCTCAGGGTTTGCTGCTGCTGCGATCTGAGGAACCTGAGGAACCTAAGTAGGGAGGAGAGGGCACGCAGAGGGGGTGGACTTACCGCACTCCCCACACAGAAAGCAGTCGACCAAATGTCCGTGCTGTTCACATCCGAGATGCTGTCTACAAAATTTGGGAATCCTAACCACACGGTTGACCGGATCATGATACCTAAGCGAGAATTGGATATCATTTTGTATCTGATCCTAATCAAATCTACAGCTGACTTCTGCCTTTGTAAAAATGATAAGATACATAATAGAGATAGGGAGGGAGAGGAAGGAAGAAGGAGGAGGGAGGAAGGGAGGAAGGGCGGAAGGCAGGAAAGGAGGGAATGAAGAAATGAAGGAAGGGAGAGAGGGAGAAAGGGAGGGAGGGAGGAAGGGAAGGGGAGGGAGGGAGGAAAGAAGGGGGGAGGGAGGAAGAAAGGGGGGAGGGAGAGAGGAAGGGAAAAAGACAAGAAGGAGGAAAAGGAAGAAAGTAAGAAAAAAATACATATTGGTGTGTGCAGAGAGAGAAAAATAAGACTGAAACTCAGAAAACAACAGTTTTTACTTTTATTTTATTTATTTATTTGAGACAGAGTCTTGCTGTGTCACCCAGGCTGGAGTACAGTGGTACGATCTCGCCTCACTATAACTTCTGCCTCCCAGGTTCAAGTAATTCTCCTACCTCAACTTTCCAAGTAGCTGGGATTACAGGCACCTGCCACCACGCCCGGCTAGTTTTTGTATTTTTAGTAGAGTCGGGGTTTCACCATGTTGGCCAGGCTGGTTTTGAACTCCTGGCTTCAAGCAATCCACCCGCCTCAGTCTCCCAAAGTGCTGGGATTACAGGCGTGAACCACCATGCCTGGCCTGAAACTCAGAAAATAACCTTATGGTAGCAAAGCAAACACAGGCACTTTAACATAAACCAAAGTTGGCCACAGTCTTATCCCCATTTTGTCTGTTTGTTTACTTGCAATATGTGATTAGCAACCTGTATTTCTCAGCTGCATTTTCAGTGGCCATGTTAGTTATTCCTCACATAAAAAGGAGTTATTCAAAAAGCACAATTTGGAAGTTTGAATATATAGTTCCTTCATTCTTTTTTTAAACACTACATTTAAATCTTTCACAAATTATTTCTCAATAATTTGCTTTTAACATTTATTCTTTGTGAGTTTCTTTTACTATTAGACTGAAATGTCTAATAAATATCCTCAAAACAGTATGCACACTCATGGTATCTATTATCGTTCTTTGTTAAGTAATGCAATATCCTTTGTTTAAAAGTACACTAGGGTTCAGGCGCCGTGGCTCATGCCTGTAATCCCAGCACTTTGGGAGGCCAAGGCTGGCGATCACTTGAGCCCAGAAGATGAGACCAGCCTGGGGAAACCCCGTTTCTACAAAAATACAAAAATTAGCTGGGCGTGGTGGCGAGTGCCTGTGGTCCCAGCTACTCAGGAGGCTGAGGTGGGAAAATCACTTGAGCCCAGAAGGCGGAGGTTGCAGTGAGTCAAGATTGCGCCACTGTACTCCAGCCTGGGCAACAGAGTGAGACCCTGTGTTTAAAAAAAAGAAAGAAAGAAAAAGAGCCCAGCACAGTGGCTCCCGCGTGTAATCCCAGCACTTTGGGAGGCTGAGGCAGGACTTTGAGACCGGCCTGGCCAAAATGGTGAAACCACGTCTCTACTAAAAATACAAAAATTAGCCGGGCATGGTGGCAGGCGCCTATAATCCCAGCTGCTCAGGAGGCTGAGGCACGAGAATTGGTTGAACCTGGAAGGCGGAAGTTGCAGTGAGTAGAGATCGTATCACTGTACACTCCAGCCCGAAGAGGGTGGGGGTGGGAGGAGAGCGAGCGAGAGGAAGGAAAAAGGAAAAAACGATATACTACTAAAATCACACCATGTAATACACTACTCAACGCACACCATGTGATACACACTAAACAAACGCTGAATAATATACTGCTAAACACATACCATGTAATATACCACCAAACACACGCTATGTAATATGCTACTAAAGGACAACTGTGAACACTAAAAGGCTCAAGATATCTTCTCATTATCAAGCCACTGCCAAAAAAAACAATGCCTTTCTTCTATACAGCGCCTTATAATTTTCAGCATATATCACTCCTTTGAGCTTAATACAAGCTGTATGCCACAGGTGTTTAGATTTCTTCCTTTTCAGTAAGGAGTCCCGATCACCCTGCCTTTTCCTGGCTTCTGCTTATTAGCTCACAGCCTCATCCACTTCCCTTCTAAAGGCTAAATAATATGCAAGTATTACTCACTAACCCTCAAAAGATGTTTTCGTACACCTTGCTTTTTTAGAGACAGGGTCTTGGCCGTGTCACCCAGGCTGGATCATGGCTCACGGCAGCCTGGAATTCATGGGCTCAAGTGATCCTCCTCCTCCTGCCTCAGTCTGCTGAGTAGATGGGACCACAGGTACGTGCCACCATTACTGGCTTTTTTTTTTTTTTTTTTTTTTTTTTTTTTTTTTGTACAGCCTGAGTCTTATGTGTCCCAGGCTAGTCTTGAACTCCTAGGTTAAAGCAATCCACCCACCCCAGCCTCTGAGTAGCTAGGATTACAGGCATGAGCCACCACACCTTTGGGAGGCCAAGGTAGGAGGATCACCTGAGCCTAGAAGTTTGACCAGCCTGGGCAAGACGGTGAGACTCCATCTCTGAAAAGTAATACAAAAATTAGCCAGTGTGGTGATGCATGCCTGTAGTCCCAGCTACTCGGGAGGGTGAGGTGGGAGGATCTCATGAGCCCAGAAGTCTGAGACTGCAGTGAGCTATGACTATGCCACCACACTCCAGCCTGGGCAACAGAGTGAGACCCTGTCTCAAATAAAATGAAAATAAATAAAGTGATAATGATATTGGGGTTGAAATGTTTAAAATTATTACATTTTAGAGCTTTCTACTGAGATCTGAATGGGAAGAATAATGGGGCCTGAGAGTAATCCAGAGAGGAGCCTGAAGAGGAGAGATGAGCTGGGTACCCATACCCCACGAATCCCACATACAGGGATTCACTGTACATGTTTCTATTCTAGACTGCATTTATGCGTGGTGGAAATGTTCCAAAGTAAAAAAGCTAAACAGTATGGCCAAATCTAGCTTCGAGGTCTGTATAAAGTGTCACATCAACGTTTAAAGCAGATGTTGGCAACCTCATTCTATAATATTTTTGGCTTTAGGAGCTGTACTTTCTCTGTCCAATATTTGCCCTGCCCTTGGAGGGTAAAGGCAGCCATGGATAACTCACAAATGCACATGAACAACATAGCTGTGTTCCCATCAAACTTTATTTGTAGACATCAACATTTAAATTTCATGTCATAGTCACATGCCAGGAAATATTTTTTCATTTTGATTTTTAAAAACATTTTAAGGCTGGACGAGGTGGCTGATGCCTGTAATCCTAACACTACGATGCCGAGGGTGGTGATCTCTTGAGCCCAGGAGATGGAGACCAGCCTGGGCAACATAGTGAGGCCCCATCTCTCTCTATCTCTCTCTCTCTCTCTCTCTCTCTCTCTCTCTCTCTGTCTCTGTCTCTGTCTCTCTCTATGTGTGTGTGTGTGTGTGTGTGTGTGTGTGTGTGTGTGTGTGTGTAATCTCCTAGCATGGTGGCGTGTGCCGGTATTCCCAGCTACTCGGGAGGCTGAAGCAGGAGAATCGCTTGAACCTGGGAGGCGGAGATTGCAGTGGGCCGAGATAACATCACTGCACTTCAGCCTGGGCGATAAAGCAAGATTCCGTCTCAAAAAAAAAAAAAAAAAAAAAAAAAAAAATCCAGGCGTCCCGTCCGATCCCTAGGGAACCGCCTCCAGTGTCTCTTTTCTCTGTACTTCAAGTGGTTCAGACGCCCGGCTCAACCCGCCCGCAGTGCGCCCTCACCCGAGCACCGATCAAGTTCCAACCTGCAGGCTGTGGGTCCTCACCTGGGCTTGATCAAGTTCCAACCCGAGGGCCATGCGCCCTCACCCGGGCATCGATCCGGTCTTAACCTGGGGGCCACGGATCCTCACCCAGGGCCTCACGCTCTCACTCCAGCACTGAGCAAATCTCAACCCGCGGGCCGTGCGCCCTCAGCCAGGGGCCGAGCAGGTCCCAACCCGTGGGCCCCTCACCCTCAGCCCTGCACCCGGCAGGTTCCAACCCTCAGGCCTCTCGTCCTCACTCCACCACAGAACAGATCCAAACCCACAGGTCGCGCGCTCTCTTATCTGGGTACCAGTTGGGTCTCAACCTGCGGGCCATGCGCCTTCACTCAGACACTGATCAGGTTCCAACCCACGGGCCGCATGCGCCCTTACCCAGGCAGCCGATGAGGTCGCAGGCAGCGGCAGCGCGCAGGATGCGGACGGAGGCCGGCGGGGACGTCGCGGGGTTTCCGGGGCCCGCGGATCGACGGCCGGGCAGCAGCTGCAAAAGGCCCAGTGCAAGGCGGATCGCGCCGCTGCCCAGGCAGAGCGCGTGGAAGGCCCGCGGCTGGAAGCTCAGCACGAGCTGCGTGGCCGCGTCCCGCGTGGGGCAGCAGAAGATACCCAGGCGCGGGGAGGCCATGGACTGTCCTCACCGACGCGGCTCGGGTGTGCCAGGACCCCGCCGGCCTGCTTGGGTCATGTGCTGGGCGGGCTGGGGGCGGCATCATGTGCCCTGGGCCTTTCCCCCACCCCAACCCCCCGCGCCTGCTGTAGAGCCAGGCTCGGTGGGGGCCTAGCGCGCCGGGTAACGCCACGAGGCCTCACGAGGTGATGCTTGGGCGGGCGGCGGAGGAGGACAGAGAGAGGGAGGGCTGAGAGGAGAGGAAGGGGGAGGAGGAGCAGGGAAGTGGAAGGAGACTTCCAAAGGTTGGGAGGGTTGCCTTTCTCCCCATTCACCAAGCCTTTCTGGTATTCTAATTCTCTGGCACCTAGAGCGCCAAACCTGCCGTCTTTACTGGTCTTCTGGAAAAACAGGCCTCATGGACCAGATCTTTCCTATTTGGGACTCTGACATCCTGATTTTGATGCCTTTAAGGCCCAGAACATGTTCATAAACTGTGACTGATCCCTATAACTGCATTTCTCCTAAGTAGAGATGGTTGTCAAAATAGTGCTTTTCATGGCCTCTGTCATTTATGGTAACCCCACAGAGGCAGGATTTTCGTTCAAAATTAATGAATGGAACAATCAGATCAATGTTAAAGAAAAAGCAGTAGCTCACACCTATAATCCCAGCACTTTGGGAAGCCGTTGCTTGAGCTCATGAGTTGGAGACCAGACTCCGCAACATGGTGAAACCCCGTCTCTACTAAAAATACAAAAATTAGCCGAGCATGGTGGCCCAGGCCTGTGGTCCCAGCTACTCAGCAGGCTGAGGTGGGAGGATCACTTGAGCCCAGGAGGTGGAGGTTGCAGTGAACCAAGATCGTGCCACTGCACTCCAGCCTGGGCGATTAAGCCAGACCTTGTCTCAAAAAATGAAACAAAACAAAACAAAAATTAGCTGGTTGTGGTAGGGCATTTGCCCAAGCTTGTAGCCCAAGCTTCTGGGGAGGCTGAGGTGGGAGGATTACTTGAACGAGGGAAGTTGAGGTTGCAGACAGCCAAGATTACACCACTACACTCCAGCCTGAGCAATGGAGACTCAGAGAGAGAGAGAGAGAATTACACACACACTCTCTCTCTCTCTCACACACACACACACAATTAAATTTAAAATTTAAAAACTTTTTTTAAAAAAGGGAAAACTACTCAATGTAAGTACACAGAGACACATTTGGCACCTTAACTTCCAGTTCTACTTAAGTTTATTTGGATTTTTCTTAACTGCGTTAATTTTTCTATGTTTTCTCATATGGTGAAAATCTTGCTTTATCCTACATATGTAAGTTTCAAAATAATATTAGTGTTAATGTTACATTAAGCATACTGAGTGAGATTTTTTTTTTAAAAGTTCTTCAAGGTTGAAAATAGAAGCACTCCTTCTAGATTATGGCCTTTAGTTTTAAAAAGGAAAGAAAAGAAAAAAAAATCCAGCTCCATCGTATTTATCATCTTCAACAAACCTCATTGGCTCTTTGTGACCACACAAGAGACCTCCTCTCTCCTGGTAAAATGGGCCCCTCTCTGGGTTTTTTCAAGCATAGGTGTCCCCATTGTGTTCATGGACTCTCTTCACTTGTCCTCCCACCCCAGCGCCTAGCTGAATTTCCCCACCAGCTTTGGGGTTTGAAGAAAGGCATGATCTGTGCTGCCTTCCTCTAGGGACCGCAGTATTGGCCTTCCCTTGGGACCCTACAGAAGGCAGGCGGGAGGCTCCACTGCCAGACAGGAAGCGGAGCCTTATTTAACAATGAGCAGCAAACTCCACCACTTCAAAAGAGTCCAGATCTGGCACGTCTATAAACGCAGCCTGTTCACTCCACAGCTACCTTCAGAGAAGTCAGAAAGCTTAACAGCTCTGCTGGATTACACAGTCCATTGTACAAACAGTAGGAAGCACCGTAGAACTATTCCCCAAGCATTGATGTTAAAAAGCATGAATCCTAATATCTAATTTGTACAGTGGCTCTCTTTCCTTCTGCCTTGGTAAGCAGACTTGCTTCTCGAGGTTGCTGTAATGGAAAGTGCTTTAAAAGATAAAGAGTGTCTGTGCATTTGCTTGAAGGTTGAGGGCCAGTGGGCCAGGCAAAGGGGTCGCTCCCTGCATTTGAATCTGTTCCACGCAGCAGACTACACACTCCACCTCTCTGCATCCTATGTGCTAATCTGGGAGCACTCCCCAGGGGCTCTGGCTGACTCTGGTGCCCACTGCTCAAGGTCAGTACTCAGAATCTCATCAGCGAGAAAATGGATATGAATGCAGATTCCCAGGCCCGGGACACAGATGACAATGGCAAAGATGAGCCTCAGAGCAAAGATGCGGAAGCATGGGTGTAAGACTAAATTTAAAACCCTGTCATCAAAGTGAGAGGTTGAAAATGGCATGAGAGGCCAGGCCCAGTGGCTCACACCTGTAATCTCAGCACTTAGGGAGGCTGAGGCAGGAGGCTCACATGAGCCCAGGAGTTTGAGACCATCCTGAGCAACATAGTAAGATCCCATCTCTACCAAAAAAAAAAAAAAAAAAAGGCGGAGCGTGCTGGTGCGCCCTGTAGCTGCAGATACTGGGGAGGATGAGGTGGGAGGATCCTTTAAGCCCAGGAGTTTGAAATTGCACTGAGCTGTGATCACACCACTGCACTCCAGTTGGGCAAACTGAGATGACAAACCTTGTTGTTTTTTTTGAGATAGAGTCTTGCTCTGTTGCTCAGGCTGGAGTGCAATGGTGCAATCTTAGCTCACTGCTGCAACCTCCACCTCCTGGGTTCAAGAGATTCTCATGCCTCAGCCTCCTGAGTAGCTGGGACCACAGGCACAACCATCACACCTGGGTAATTTTTTGTCTTTTTAGTAGAGATGGTGTTTCGCCATGTTGGCCAGGCTGGTCTCGAACTCCTGTCCTCAAGTGATCCAACCACTTTGGCCTCCCAAAGTGCTGGGATTACAGGCATGAGCCACCATGCCAGGCCGGAACAGACCTTTTCATGAAAAAGTACAACTACAAATTTGAGAAAAGTGAAGCAAATACACATACACTTGGGAGGCAGAAACATCTGGAAGTTTGGTAGACATGGGTGATCCAGCGATGGCAGTGCTGAGTATGACCTTTGAGGTATGTGTGCAGTAACAGTCGGTCTTTGAGTACATGAAGGTACATATGTTTCTGCATCAACCCTTCCTTCTTTTTTCCCTCCTTCCCAGTTTAGCATCTGAATTCGCTCTCCATTTTCACAGCCTGGGCTGCGCGGGGCATCTGTTCCCTGGAAATGCTCCATCATCTTGGCTTTCTCTCGTTCCTCAATCCACCATTTGCTCACCATTCCCACTCGATCAGATGCACTTGATCAACTGCTGGAAGTTGATGCAGGCGAGTCCCCTGATATCCAGATGTCTCAGCCAAAACGGTGGGGTTTATGGGGAGACTCAGATATCCCTTAGAATCCAATAGAGGAGGTGGCTGGGGGCAGGCAGATGGCAGCAACAGCCTAAGTGAAGAGACTGCCATTCACAGTAATTTGAATTTAAATAATAAGATTTGTTTATTTATTTATTGAGATGGAGTCTCACTCTGTTGTCCAGGCTGGAGTGCAGTGGTGCCATCTCAGCTCACTGCAACCTCTGCCTCCTGGGTTCAAGCAATTATCCTGCCTCAGCCTCCCGAGTAGCTGGGATTATAGGCATGTGCCACCACGCCCGGCTAATTTTATATGTTTAGTAGAGACAGGTTTCTCCATGTTGGTCAGGCTGGTCTGGAACTCCTGACCTCAGGTGATCCATTCACCTCGGCCTCCCAAAGTGCGGGGATTGCAGGCGTGAGCCACTGCGCCTGGCCTAACAAATAAGATTTAAATAATAAACTAATTTATGGAGTGTAGGCAGGCACTATGCTGTGAATTTTACATTCATTGTCTCATTTAATGTTCAGAGCCTTCCAAGTGGGTTTTACTGATACTTAAGTTGCTATAGACAATACATGGCCAGGCACAGTGGCTTATGCCTGTAATCCCAGTATTGTGGGAGGTCAAGGTGGCAGCCTTGTTTGAGCCCAGGAGTCCAAGACCAGCCAACCATCCTGGTCAACATAGGGAGATCCTGTCGCTATTTAAAAAAAAAAAAAAAAAAAGACAGCACAGTGACTCACACCTGTAATCCTAGCACTTTGGGAGGCCAAGGTGGGCATATTGCCTGAGGTCAGGAGTTCCAGACCAGGCTGTACAACATGGTGAAACCCTGTCTCTACTAAAAATACAAAAATTAGCCATGCATTGTGGCGTGTGCCTGTAATCACAGCTACTCGGGAGGCTGAAGCAGGAGAATCACTTGAACCTAGGAGGTGGAGGTTGCAATGAGCCGAGTTGACGCCACTGTGCTCCAGTCTGGGTGACAAAGGGAGACTCCCCCCGTTGTCCCAGCTACTCAGAAGGCTGAGGTAAGAGGATCACTTGGGCCTGAGTCCAGGAGATCAAGACTGCAGTAAGCCATGATGGCACACTATACACTCCAGCCTGGGCAACAGAACAAGAACTGGTAAAGAAAGAAAAGAAAAAAGAAAGAAGAGAAGGAAGAGAAGAGGGATGGAAAGAAGGAAGGAAAGAAAGACAAGACAATACATGTCTATGGGTATGGCTGTGTGCCAGTAAAACTTTATTTACAAAACAGGCAAAGGGCCATAGGCTGCAGTTCCTGTAAGTCTACCACCTGAGGCTCTGGCTTATGTAGCAGCTGCCTGAAAGGCTGGGCGAGAACCCAGAAATGGAGGAGGATTAACACCTAGTGGGGCAGACAAACTTAATCCAATGAGAGAGAGGAAGCAGCAAGTCCTTGACAGATGTATTGTTCTCCCTTCCTTCCTACGGAGGTTTCTGAGGAGTGGTTTCATATGTTCCTCTGTAACCGGCTGGGTTTCTTAGGAATCTTGTGGCCAGTTCACAAATGGCACTGCTTCCCTGCCTCACCCGGCTTTTGTCCTCACTCCTAGCGTCCTTATAGGCATACAATGTGCCTTAAACCCTGTGCTCAGACAGCTGCTTTTCCTGAGAAGACTTCAGTTGCTCCAGCTACAGCCCTCCTTTGGGTCCACCTGATGACCAACAGCATCTTTGCCTTTCATTTAAGTGCAATTCAA